AGATGAGTGTTAAACAGATAAAACAAAGAAGATAACAAAGACATTGTCACATAGAAATATGCAAGTATAATATCTCATACATTATACATGTCTGTAGTGTACATTCATAAATACATGTACATGACACATCAGGTACAATGTAAGTACAATTTGTAATGTACCTGTACATATACACATTCAAACTCAATTCAAAATCATGCAGGTAGAGCAACAAGATCAGAGAACAGTGTCATGGTTTTACCAGAGCCAGGTGGACCACACAGTACCATCAGCTTATATGCTCTGCCAACCATGTACATATACATGTATAAAGGAGACACTTGTGCCTAGGCCTCACTGTATCAAGAGGAGGGACTACGACATCAGACCTACTTTATGAGTCTCAACCTCAATCTTGGGTACTCTAAAGAGGGGCATTAAATAGAAAGGAGAGCATTAAATAGAAAGCATAACATTAAATAAAAAACAAGGCATTCAATAGAAAACAGGGCATTAAATAGAAATATTAATTTGTTAAATTACTATATAGCGGAAAATTTGGAGGGCTAAAAATTGGCAAATTGCTAAACTTTGGTGATTGCCAGATTTTTAATTTGGGGCAAATTTGTTGCCACGTGCCATTGAGCATGTGTATAATGGCTCAAAATGGTGGATTTTTTATTTTGGTGAATGAATATCAAAACACCAAATTTGTCAAATTTAATTCCCTCCAAAATTTCCTGCTATACGGTACCTGTTAGACCACAGTACCAATTCTCCTTGAATATTAACCTCGAAATCAATGATGGGGGCAGTACCAGGTGGTAGAGGTATGGTGGTCGTCCCTCGTATCAAGTCACCCATCTTTTCCTGATAGACCATCTTTTCATCCCTGGAGAAGCACCAGATCAAACAGAATATGAGGTAGCAAGGAACGTAGGTCTCAATCTGATCAGAAAGCATGGGAAAGTCCGGGTGTGACTGGTTGTAGGAGACTATGTTTCGGATCATCTGGTGGAGCATTGAGAAGAAAGACTTGAGTGCCCTGAGATGAGTGAAGTCCATTATGTGGTCTAGAGTTGCGGCATGTTCAAGACAGTGAGGAATGATACCGTCCAAAGCAAAAAGAGGACTTAATAGATCAGCATAATCTCTTTGGACCTGGAAAACACATGGGCAAAGGGATAAAATTTTGTGAGCAAGCAGTTAAGAAAGCAGATGAATCATTTAAGTAGAAGATGGTGATTATTGCATAATGCCCACCATCCACTATTCAACTTTGTTGAAAGCAACTTTGTGGTTACTTTGATGTGCTGTCAACTCTGTTGCCTGAAATAGAACTCAGTTCTATTTCAGGCAACATAGTTGATAGCACATCAAAGTAACCACAAATTTTCTTTCAACAGTGGATGGTGGGCTTAATAATACTGTATATGCTCACAAAACTGATTCAAAATTGAATGGGTAAGAAAAATATTATCTACTCTTGGAAAATAAAAGTCATAAAAATTAACAAAAATACATGTGCATATAGTACATGCACATGTACAGTACATGTAATTGCTTACCTGCATATTATGCAGGAGAGATGGTCTCCTGGTTGGAGGTGCCCCCTCCTCCTATTAGTTCCTCCTCTTCCTCGTCAATAGGTATTGGTTTCAGTTTCAATATGAAGTGATCAAAAACCATATCAAGTGTTAAGACGTCTTCACTAAACCAGACCATACCACAGCAACTCACAGTGGCTAGGGTAGCAAACATAGGGTCTTGTACTCCAAACATTATATGAACCTAGAGAGTATACAGAGATTTACTAATAATATACTAAACATAATAACACCATTATTAAAAATTATGGGTGCTCTGATATTACATCATTTTTGGCGAAACTTAGACACTGTCCCTGTACTATATAGTAAGGGGGTGTTTGCCAAATTTTGCCAAAAATGTCAAGTTGAGAATTCTCAATTTTTATAACATTTTCTGATGCACATACATGTTCTTATATTGTGTAGAAAGTTTGAGCTGATTCTGATTGAATTTGGATTTTTTATGAATTTTTTAAGTTGCTCCAAAATCGAGCCAAAGTCTCTGTACTATGTTGGCCAAATTTTTCTAAAAATTTCAAGTATAGAATTTTCAATTTTTATAATGCTTTCTGATGCACATACATGCTCTTATGTTGTGTAGAAAGTTTCAGCAAATTCTAATTAAATTTAGATTTTTAATAAATTTTTTAGAATTCTGTCTTAGTCATTTTTAACAAAATATTGAAAGCTATAGCTAGCATGAGCATGCTCAGTTTGAAACAAAATGGTGGATTTTATATTGGCGATTTCTTCGTAGAAATGCCAATCGGCAATATTAATTCCTTGCCAAGAAATCATCTTGTACAGTATAATTCTACATGTACATATACATGTATATAAAGTACAGAAGAACTCTCAAATAAAAATGAATGAAAATGTAGAAGCTATTGTTAAAATAAAGATAGGAAATAGAAGCCCAGGCTTTTGCATGTACAAGGATTTATAGTACAATACAAAAATGCTTAAATCCCATACACAATGTATGCAATTATGCATGTACATGTACATGTACATTGCACATACCTCATCCTCTTGTTCATGAAGTTGCTTAGATAGATCAGTTTCCTCCAGTGTCTGTCCTTGAGCTGCCAGTTCTTGCTTCAGTTGCTGGATCCTGTCCCTCTTGATATTACAAGCACTCACCAGTACACTGTACATGCAAATAAATAATTTATAACCACCAACACTGGTAGTCTTGACTATTAGGCAGTAACTTACATGCATTTATATAATGAGTTAACTAGAGGAAAAAAAAGGGAGCATGTAAATACAAATACACCACATCATGGTAAATAAATCCAAAAATAAGACGAGTTAATTATGCATTGTTATTTGAGTGTCTCACCCATTTCTCTGTTGTTCCTATTTGGATATGTTCCAGAGTTACTTTAACTCTCTTCCTCACTGAAGACAAGGTCTCATTAGAATGACACTGAGAGAAAGGGAGAGAGAGAAAAAGAGTGAGTTAGTTTCAAGCACATCTAATGTACATGTAGAAGTAAAAGAGATGGGGAAAGGAACACATGTACATTTCAAAAATACATGCACATGTACATGAGTAACATCAACGAATAGAACCAATGACATGCAACAATGACAAATGAGTTCAAGGACACTCTCACCAAATAAAATAGATTACACTCAGAATGAATGTATACTAGCAAGAGTGGATAATTATTAGGGAGAGTGTCTAACCAGCCTATAATCTGTGATACCACAGTGCGTAAGTTTACATAGCATGGTTATTAGCACCAAGTAGCCATTCTTGCGTCCTTATACTGATTCCAAGTCAGAAGGCTGCAAATAAGAAAGAGCCAACCATTAGAAGAACATATTCCCGTCTGCTCCTGCTTGTTTCTCGCACTACATGATCCTCAGAGTGGAGATATAAGTCTTAAAGTTGCCTGCATGCTTCAAGCGCCATTTTATCAGCCACACCCATAAATTTGAAGATTACTGAGATTAACTATGTATACTTGCAAAAAACGGATGTAAACATACGCGCTCTGTCGCGCTGTGGTATCACAGAATATAGGCAGGTTAGACCATGTCCAGAAATTGCAATGGGACTTCCGGTCGCGTTAATTTAATGATATTCATTGGAATTACCATAGCAACGGCAGTTCAGCAATGGTGGATTGATAGGAAGCTTCACTACAAAGTTTGCTAACGTCTTTCTGGTACATGGATGGGACTTCACTAGATACTTGAGGCTTCTAGAATGCTACTTAATGCAATTGGTTATGGTAGTTTTCTCATATTCTTTTGTTAAAGTGGCAAGCGTGGTGAAAGAACAGGCCGCTCTTCTCAACAAACGGCCGTCTTACTTCAAAAAGGTCTAGAGACACTATTTGCTTGTATATATAAGATGTTAAGCACTCTTTCTTTCACTTTATTATTCCTAAGAGAAGAGGAAAGCACTTGTGACTTGTTGACTCTTGCTGCTGCACCCGTCATCATTGAAATGGCTAAAATTACTTCACCTTCATTCAGGAGACAAATGTTCCAAACAAAGTTTTGAATTTCTTTATCTTTTTTGCATCATTTGGTAGTAAGAATTTTGTACTTTCACAAAATAAGTGAGCAAATTGTCAAAAATTGTTAGAAATTTAGATATAACCATTCAAAAAGTAAAAAAATTATCATACATACATAAAGGAATGACAAGATGGCGGCACTGACTGCCTCATCTTCAATTGGTTAATGTTCCACACAAAGTTACTCCAAATGCTGTAATATTTAGCAGGAACACAGGTAGATGGATGAAGAACAGCTACTGAAGTGCGCAAATTGATGATTCTTATTGTAAAGAAAGATATAGCCTAGTAAATGGAAATGTCCATTCCTGCCCTGTATAAAGTCAATCAGTGGTATACGGAGATAATTGCTCAGTATACTACTCCGTGTCCACTCATTTCTGGACATGCACTCTCCCTAAATAATTATCCACTCTTGATACTAGCTATAGTCTTGCTAGCCAGCCCATTTCCCAGCCTACAGTCCACCCCAATGACTGTAGTCTGGGGAATGGGCTGGCTAGCCTGAGACAATACTAGCTACAGGGTACTATAGGGTGGCGGGAAAGAATTATTTGAGAAAGCATTGATCATTTGGTGCAGTATAACCACATAAATATCATAATAAAATTAATATACATGTACTTGTACATTATATCTAACATATCTAAGACAAAATGGAGGTATTGTAGGCTATTCATATGCAATTACTATACTATTGATCAGGAGCCCATGAAGTTGGGGAGGGTAGACTTACAGTACAGATCAATACATATACATTATACAACAATAAGGAATGGGTTGTACTTGTAGCTTTGACCCTGCACATCAGGGTTTGTTTGCTAAATCGTCCTTAAGATCAGCCATTTTTGACACAGAGCCAAGCCTTTTTAATTGACTTTAGTATTCATAGTACTAATAATTATTAATAATCAATCAACTTTAACTAAGCATCAAAATGCAAAAATAGAAGAATTACTAAAACTACAAACAGGTTACCATTAAATAGTATCATTTAGTTCAGTTATAATATCATTCATTGTTGGACGGTGTCTATACTCAACTATCAGGCAGCGTTGAACAAGAGACCTAAACGAGGCTCTTCTAATACCATCAATAAGACCTACTCTCTCTTCTGGTAGAGGAATACGTCGTGTTATCATCTCTAGAAGGAGGACACCATAACTGAAGACATCCATTGAAGGAGAGTGTTCCCTTGGATTGGCTGCTTCAGGTGCTGCATAAAGTGGGCCACCAGGATTGACTGACCTAATTATAAGATGCTGAAGATTAGCTGATCCATAATCAGATACCTTAGCCCTCAAACCTCCATGCACTCCTCCCATTGGCTGAAGGAGTACATTAGCACTGCTGACATCTCTATGTAGTATAGGATGAGGCTTGAAGAGATGAAGGTAATTGAGAGCACAGGCTACATCTAAACTGATGTTTAGTACAGCATGATAGGCCAGTCCTCCAGTCTCTAATTCCTTTCTTAGGCTGGTCGGCATTAGCTCTGTCAGGATGATTGGATTACCTTCTGTAGTGGCTCCTATGAACTGAAGGAGATTAGGATGACGTAGCTTAGAGGCAATATTCATTTCACGAGAGAACAGTGACACGTTATATTCTGATATGATGGTCTCGTGAAGTACCTTTGCAGCAACTTCCAGTCCATGAAAACGAGCTACTCTGACCTCTCCCCATCCTCCTCTGCCTAGAATCCTTTCTGTCATTCTAATATCATTTCTGCTAACTACCCAGGAAGATTCTTTCTCTTGTCTATCTCTCTCTCTTAGTTGCTGCTCTAGGCCTCTTTCTCTTTCTTGACTTTCCTGAAGCTGTCGTCGAAGATCCTGTTCTCTTTCCCCACCCTGTTGAACTTCCCTCTGAAACTGTTGCTCTCTTTCTTGAAGCTGCCATTGAAGATTCTCCTCTCTTTCTCTGGCCTGCCTCTCTCTTTCTTGTCCTTGCTGCTGTACTTGTTGAAGTTGTTGTTCTCTTCCTTGAAGTTGTTGCTGTAGTCTGTTTCTAACTTGTTCCTTTTCTCTTCTCTCCTCCTGTAGTTCCCTTTCCCTTTCTTGTAGTACACGTGTCAGACGGTCTATTTCTCTTCTATCCTCAGGTTGAACAGGTTGAGATGCTTCCCATTCTCTTCTCCTTTCTTGTAGTTTCTCTTGATACTGGTTCAGAGGTATTATACTAGTAGACCAATCATTATTACTAGTATACCCTATACAGTAACACAATAGTGTAATTAACGACAAGTATACATGTATGTGTATAATAATAATTATGCTGTATAGTGGAAAGCACTGATTATTACTTAAATTCATATACATAATTATTCTAAATTATTATGTCACTCAATAAAGCAAATGTACATGTACTGACTGAGTTCAATTACTGCTGTATCAGTGTATGACATCTCTCCTCCAAACACTATTATCCAGTTAGTGGTTGGAGTCACACTCCACAATGAGAGAGAATGAGAATATCTATTAGTGACATTCTTCGGTGTATTAAACTATGAAGGAGGATTATAATAAATATAATTTGTAATATTCATTGTCATGTACTGTACATGAACATGTATTGTCATTAAATTTTGATTAACTCATTTGTCATAAGCTTATTTAAAACCATAAACTCCACCAAAAATATCTAAACAACACCCACAATATCATGTTATACTTACCAGTTCCTTCCATGATTTATTTTTAATATCAAATATCCAAAGACCATGAGAACGAACTCCACCCACCACTAATAGGTGTGGTCCTGAGTTAGTGTTAATCAATACACTGGAATGAGCACGTCTTTCCTCAGGCCATTGTACTGATCCTCCAGGATTGGATAACTTTGAACAATTCTATAATAAAATAACTATTATAAACCACATCCTTACAGAAACACCCCCTCAAAAATAACTAATGTGACTAGATGTACATACTGACAATATACATGTACTCACCACAGATGTATCAGTAAAATTAAGAATATATACATTGTTGCTCCTTCCATTAGCAGTGTCACCTCCAAATAATATAGCACTGGAATTATTAATTGATGTTAAAGTAAATTCATCAATAGGAGGTGGTCTGTCTCCAGTGACAGTTGGTGATATCCAATCACCTAAAATATAAAATTAATTAATGATCAGTTTGTTGATAATGAATAAAATACCCACGAGCTACTCAATTACCTACATGTACAAGTTCTGTGTGCTACTTAGCTTTTTTTGCACTATACTGTATTTAAGAATAAAGAACAATTTATGCTGCATGGTGTTATCAACAAGATCTTAAGGGCTGTCTCCCATTTTAAATAAAATACAAACTTTGCCATAAACCATGCATAAAACCAAAAACTGTGCTGTATAAGACTTATGTTGTACAAATATGCTAAACGATAATAATCAGGCCTGAAACGAATAATAAAATATTCAAATATTCGTTCGTTTATAATTTTTTATAGCAATACTTGAATAGTTTTCTTGCTAGTCGAATTAAATTTTTAATGGTTATAGCAATAATTAATGGCCACGGAATAATTAATAGCCATGGAAAGTGGTTCTTAATCTCAAAGAAGCCCTGCCCTGTTTGGGATCATTTTGAAAAGATTTAGACCAAAAAGGTAGTTTATAATCATTCATTGAACTATTTGAATATTCATATCATGTCAGTATTCACATGTAGCATACGAAGAGTGAAAAATACTATTCGTTTCAGCCCTAATAATAATTAAACTATACTGACCTGATGAAAGTTTATATAAATGTATTTCATTATTCCTAACATTGTACTGGGCATCAGGTTGCTCTGGTACATTATTTGAAGATTGTTGATATCCTCCAATTACTACAAGATAGTCCTCACCGTTGACTTTTATTGCTGTCATATCACATATGTATTTCATCATAGGACCATGACGAGATGTAGTAGGAGAGAGTTCCTTCCAGTTGAAGGTATCAACATTAAAACTGTATAAAATATTATATGATATTTATCAGTAACTATCATGTTTACCTATACAAACTATTATGAAGACAGCCAACATAATTACACCATCCTGCGAAATAAAAGATTACTCTTCCAATGGCAGCAGCTGCATAGCCAGAAACACCCAGTGGAGGATTACCAGTGGTGGGTTTCTGCTCCCATCTACCAGTCAATAGGTGGCACACCTCCATGACAGAACACATTGACTTCTTCTCTTCATTATTATGTACTTCAGGGAGATCAGGCTGGTTCCCACCCCACATATACAGGTAGTCTCCTACCCGTACAGTGGAGTGTCCACTCCTCTTCACTGGTTGATAGTCTATAGATAACAAGAGGTAACAGTAACTGAATGATACATTAATAATCAGTGAGTGACCTTTTTCAGGACCCTTAGCTGTCATTTTGTCATGACATTGAGCCTCTCTTCTCCGTATACTATCCCCCATCCATTCTCTTGGTACGTAAATTTCAACCACGTGCTCATCATGGCAACAGTTTTTTGGAAGTGAATGAAATAATACTTTATATATATATATTTCCTGTTGGACCTATAGTTGGAACCCCCTAAATTGGTGGCATTTTGGACCCTTTTTCTGTTGTTTGAAGTATTCTATTAAAAAAGTAAAGTGATTCACGCACACTACTATACCAGTGTAACAAATTGACAAAAAAGTTTCTCTCATAAGTTCGCTATGTTAAGTGGTAGAGTGGCCACAGTTTGGGTCTCATTTATGGCCAATAACACTCAAATTCTCCTTCATTGTTTATTGCACATTCAAAATAATAGAATTCATGCACGTACATAGTCATAAACTAACCTCCTAATGTTGTGTTCCTTGAATATCTATGTGCACTGGCTAGAAATTTTGCCCAAGGTAGTTAATTGTTAAAAAATTGCCACTTTTTGGTGAATAACTTAACGCACAGGAGGCAATTAAGTTAAATTCTCGATTCATATCATGCATTAACTTATTACTGAACAAAATCAGGTGACTATTTGTCCTACACACTCTAGGCACTGAATAATAAATATGACAACTCACCTCACTCGCCATTTTCTTTGTTGTATAGCATGGAGACAACAGGAAGTGGTTTCTCCATAGACTTTATACGGAGCTTCCGGTAATGTTTCACATCCATGTGTATTACAGTATCTATGCTTTCAGCATAGGTACAGCGTATTTCAGCCCACTTGGATCACGGAACAACCTTTCCCTATCCAAGACACTCCCTCTTCCCAATTAAAAGTACAGGTAGGTGTGGATACGGAACGGAAATTGTGATCCAAGTGAAGTGAAAGACGCTGTACAGCGTATTTCAGCCCACTTGGATCACGGAACAACCTTTCCGTATGCAAGACACTCCCCCTTCCCAATTAAAAGTACAGGTAGGTGTGGATACGGAACGGAAAAAGTGATCCAAGTGAAGTGAAAGACGCTGTACAGCGTATTTCAGCCCACTTGGATCACGGAACAACCTTTCCCTATCCAAGACACTCCCTCTTCCCAATTAAAAGTACAGGTAGGTGTGGATACGGAACGGAAATTGTGATCCAAGTGAAGTGAAAGACGCTGTACAGCGTATTTCAGCCCACTTGGATCACGGAACAACCTTTCCGTATGCAAGACACTCCCCCT